AGCACCTCATGTGTGACAGACCCCATGGTAACATCTGGGGATACAAAGACCAATACAATATGGTTTACTTTCTCAAAGACCTTAGAGTCTCATAGAATGGGGATAAGGGTGATTGGGGGAAGGCGGGGCAGATATGTATTCATGAATATGCACTAAGATATGTCAAGTACACCTAGGGTCCCAGATGTGGGGAGGGAGAAAGGAGAAAGCCCCCTGACTTCCAGGAGGGTAGTAAGGAGAGTCGTCATAAATGTCTGATTATTGAAAGAAAAAGAAAAGTAGGTATTGTGTAAAGAACGGGGTTCTAGCACTCCAAGGAGCAGAAACGAAGGCACAGGGGCGTGAACCTGGGGTGGGGGGCAAAGGGAGGAGCTTGCACCTGGAAGGAGGTAACCCTGCAGTTTTGTTTGTGGACGGCCTCAGATGCCATTTTGAAAAACACAGGCTTTGGCTGCATCCTGTACTACAGGAGAAGAAAACACCTGTAAAGGAGATTATTGGTCAATGGAAACAGTTGGAATATGGATGGTAGATTAAAATACCGTAACTGTATTAAATTTACTGAAGTCTCCTGTGGTCCTGTAAGACCATATTCTTATTCTGAAAGAATATATCCTGAAAGATTTATAAGTAAAGGTCCATGATGTATGCAGTTTATTCTCAAGTGGGTAGAACAAAAATTGTGTGCGCGTATGTGTGTGTATGTGTGTGTGTTTGTGTGTGTAGAGAAAGAGAGTGTGTGTGTGAACAAGCACACAAATGGGGTAAAATGTTAACAACAGGTAAATCTGGGTAAAAGCAAATGGATATTCTTTGTACTATTCTTATAACTGTATGTTTGAAATCATTCTAGATTAAACATTGAAAAAATTATCCTCAAAGCGTACAGGAATGGGTATCTTTAAAAACACACACATACATATCTTAAACATTTTATTTAATCCTAAAACATACAAATGTGGATTTACTTATTCAACCTCATATTAAGCTGCTCATAAGACAGAACACTATCATACATTGTGGCTCATCCACTTCATGATTGAAGCTGAGTCTGTCTGGGATTCAAGCTGTGTCTCAACAAAACACAGAAAGAACATTTGGGCCACAACATAAGCAATTTTGGACTCTGTTTATTTCCCCCTCTATTTCATCTTTTCCTATTTATCTCCATCTATTTTTGATATGACAACATTATTTCTGTATCATTCAGTATTTCATTTCCCAACAAATTAAAATGCCCAAATCATTGTTACATGTTATCTTGCTTTAAAAAAAAAATCACTTGAACCTTGATTTGTTAAAAATCAGCTAACGACTAAATTATATGCTTCAGCCGCTAGGGCTGACTCAGTGGAGAAAGCGTTGGCCTACGGACTAAAAGGTCCCGGGTTCGATTCCATTCTGGTCAAGGGCGGGCTCGATCCCCAGTGTGGGGCATGCAGGAGGCAGCCGATCAATGATTCTCTCTCATCATTGATGTTTCTCTCTCTCCCTCTCCCTTCCTTTTTGAAATCAATAAAAATATATTTAAAAATAAATAAATAAATAAATTATATGCTTCATTAAAAAAAAAGTAGACGCTGACCTAGAAACAACGGGAAGTCAGTTAAAGGTTGTTTGTGTTTTGTGTTGTTGTTTTTTAACTAGAGAATAGCATGGTCAGATTTGCATTTTTTAATCCAATTAGTTAGAATATTTTTCTTCATAGCCAACCATAACTTGCCTATTGTACTTTAAGCTAATTTCTTCATGCTTATTTTTTGTGGATATAAAAAATACATGAAATTAGTAATCAAATGTGAGTCCCTTGGCCTTTTCTTGCTTTAATTACACAACCTTTCCTCACAGGACCTGTTTCCACTACTTTAATTACCTTTGGCGTTCATCTCTGAATCCTCACACACTTCTCCATCTCCTTGAAGAACTGTGGTGACCAAAACTTAATGACTAGCTAACTTCCAGAAGCATGTGGGCTCTTCCCCACTTTTTTTTTTGCAATGGCATTATACTAATGAATCACGTCTATTAACTATTAATCATAGATGCCTTTCTTTGATAATTAATGTCCTACTATTTCCTCATTCATTTAAACTGTATAATTGGGACAATGCTTTCCCTAGAGCAGGGGTAGTGAACCTTTTTCTGCCAAAGGCCATTTGGATATTTATAACATCATTCGTGGGCCATACAAAATTATCAACTTAAAAATAAGCCTGCTAGCCTGGCTGGTGTGGCTCAGCGGTTGACCAAGAGGTCACAGGTTCAATTCCTATGGGCTCAATCCCCAGTAGGGGGCGTGCAGGAGGCAGCTGATTGATGATGTTTCTATCTCTCTATCCCTTTCCCCTTCCTCTCTATCATATTTTTTTAAATATATATCTTTATCGATTTCAGAGAGAGGAAGGGAGGGATAGAAACATCAATGATGGCCCTAACCGGTTTGGCTCAGTGGATAGAGCGTCAGCCTGCGGACTCAAGGGTCCCAGGTTCGATTCCGGTCAAGGGCATGTACCTTGGTTGCGGGCACATCCCCAGTCGGGGGTGTGCAGGAGGCAGCTGATCGATGTTTCTCTCTCATCGATGTTTCTAACTCTCTATCCCTCTCCCTTCCTCTCTGTAAAAAATCAATAAAACATATTTAAAAAAAAAAAAAAAAAAAACATCAATGATGAGAGAGAATCATTGATCAGCTGCCTCCTGCATGCCCCCCACTGGGGATCGAGCCTGCAACCCAGGCATGTGCCTCTGACTGGAATCGAACCTGGGACCCTTCAGTCCACAAGCCAACGCTCTCTCCACTGAGCCAAACCAGCTAGGGCTCCATCTTTTTTTTAAGATAGAGCTGAGATTTTTTAAAAAAAAATTAGTCTGCTATATTTAGTCAAATATTTAATTAATTCACCCCTAATGCCTTGGCAGGGGCAGACCAAATGATTTCATGGGCCTCATACGACCCATGGGTTGGACATTCTCCACCCCTGCCCTAGATGATCACTGAGAAAGCTATTTGTGAAAGCATTAAGAACTTTACTGAAATCGAGATAAAGTGGGTCATTCATTCAACACAAAGTCACCCTAACAATTCTTTCTTGTTACAGTTTTTCATATTATCATAGAACAAAACTCAATTACTCTGGCAAGATGTAACGCTCACCAAGGCATGGTAGCTGCTTTTTCATCTTGTTACTTCTGGTAATTGAGTAATGACCTTATAATGGATCAGACTAGTGTCTCTCCAGGCTGAGATGCTAAGCATTATGCAAGGCTTCGGGGGCACATTATGGATAAGATAAGGGCCCTTCCTTTACATAACTCACAATTGACATGTACATGAAAAATGTAGAAAGTGCTATGAGGACATGGTAGAGAGGACCACCAACTCTTGGTAGAAGGAGGTCTGGCAACCCTTCAGAGAAGTGGAAGGGCTGAGGTACTGAAGAATAATCAAGTTTCATTATATACAAAAGGGAAAGAAAGGAATTAAAAGTAAAGGAGACTTGGGAAGCTATGGTAATTGTTTCAAGTGTCCAAAGGAGTATCAGAGAGAAGGATGTAGGGCTCCAGAGAAGAGAATCATGACCACTGTCTGAGCTTTCTATTCTCTACTCCAGTGAATTATTTCCTATCCTAAAAAAAAAAAAAATGATGTGGTATTATTCAAATTAGCATTAGACCAAGAAGTATAATCAATTCTGAGCATGTCCCAGCAGTAAGTGGTTAAATACATTGGAGATCAGTGGTGTTCAGTTATTCATCATTTTTATGGTGGCCTGAATGTGATGACTCATGTCACGATCTGAAAGTGAAGAACAAGACTCACTGCTGCTCCGGGAAAACAAGAGTGATGGACAATGCACTGGAAAAAAGAGGGAGACAGGGGTGGGGCCATTGCTGATCTACCCAATAGCAATGCTCCTCTTCTTGCTCAGTTTATAGAACCCTGATATTGTTCAGGATTCAATCTAATGAGGGCCGGTAACTACCTACTATCGTCCTGATGCGTGAACTCTGATCAGTCTAAGCCAAACAAAGCAATTAGGAGTGAGGCTATGGCTCAGACTTAAGAGATGGAAAGGAAAGTGAACTGATGATCGAAGAGAAAAGCCTCTGAGAAGGAATCTATCTACTCCCTGATAAAGACAGTTGACAAAAACAATGCCCTGTGTTTCTGCCTTAAACATTATTATATAAAACTGTGATATTTAGGGTGCAGACAAAATTCTATAGGGGAGGTGATAGAGATAGATCAATAGATCAATCATCTGTAGTTAGCATGCTTTGAAAACTGAAAGAGGTTAGCATAGTTGGAGACAAATTACAAGAAGTAATTCTCTATTAGCCCAAGGTTCAATTTTTCCATCCACCATTATCTGCTTCTATTTTGGAAGAACATACAACTACAAATCTATTATGATGCAACAAGAAGGAGTGTCCAAAAGTGGCCCTGGGTACCAGGGTTGCCTGGACAACTAGCCAGCTGGGAAGGGGACTCTTTTATCCAGAGTTTATTAAAGCCCAGCTTCTCTTGGGTCTTGAAGGTCCCTACATGCTACGTGGATGGCTTTACCAGACAACTACTCTCTAAAGCTGACACCTAATCCCAGACTCTGAAAATCATCTGATTATGCCAACACTGCCTATTCAACAGAGCACCATAGTCCAGCATGGCTCTTCACGAAGATGGTGATGAATTGGGACATCCATGCCGCTCTTCCTTGTTTCCTTGATTTGAAAGTTTCCTCCCAAAGAACCTATTCCTATTATCAATGATATACATTCACGCTGTATGTCATTGATAATTATAACTTACCACAGATGACAACAGAGCTTAAGTTAAAGGAAATCAGAGAACCTCCCAAAGACTTTCATACAATCATCTGAATTAAGGCAGCAGTGGTTTTTATTTATTCAAAAGAATGTTTTAAGAATGAAATCAGGAGTATACACTGGGCCCGGGAGATTAGTTTTCTTGTCCTTGTCCACTGAGACATCCTCCGTGGGAAAGTCAGTGGGTTGCTCTCATCTTCTCGTGTCTGAACATGGTGCGGACTAGAGCAGACAGTTGCCTGGGCACCTACAGAAAAGTGGTGGCTGCCCGAGCCCCCAGGAAAGTGCTTGGTTCCTCCACCTCTGCCACTAACTTCACTTCACCTTCCTGGAGGAAAGCTGAAAATAAGTATGCAAGAGGGAATCCAGTTTGTGTGCGCCCAACTCCCAAAAGGCAAAAAGGAATTGGAGAATTCTTCAGACTGTCCCCTAAAGATTCTGATAAAGAGAATCGGATTCCTGAAGAGGCAGGAAGCAGTGGTTTAGGAAAAGGAAAGAGAAAAGTACATCCTTTGCCACCTGGTGACACAGATGATGAAAAAAAATAGAACTTTCTTACTCATCCTTGACTAATGTCTCCTGTTTACTCTGGTATCCTAGGATATAAATTTGCATAAATGTATTTGTTCCAGTTAGCTTTGTTGAATAGGCATTTAATTAAAAAATGAGGGTCACATATAGTTATTCGAAAGCAACTAGTTACGTTATTGGAAGATTTATGAGATAACTATGGTTACTCACCTTAGTATTCAATATAATGCAGTGTTTGGTTTCCTTTGCCTGTTATTAAGCTTCTTGTTCTCGCTAAAAATAAATCATTGCATGCTGTATACAACAAATCTGCTGTATTGGAGATTTGCTTAGATTTTTGTACTGCTGCCATTTTTATTGCCATTAGATTTTTTGGGATGGTGCCATATTTTTGTTCCTTTTATTTAATTTAAAAAGCAGAGTTGGAGCCGAAACCGGTTTGGCTCAGTGGATAGAGCATCGGCCTGCGGACTGAAAGGTCCCAGGTTCGATTCCGGTCAAGGGCATGTACCTGGGTTGTGGGCACATCCCCGGTGGGGGATGTGCAGGAGGCGGCTGATCGATGTTTCTCTCTCATCGATGTTTCTGACTCTCTATCTCTCTCCCTTCCTCTCTGTAAAAAATCAATAAAATATATTTTTAAAAAAATAAAAATTAAAAATAAAAAGCAGAGTTGGATTTCCGCACATTAAAAAAAAATCAGTATTAATTAAACCACACCTATATCCTTTTTAAGAATGGGGGCCAATGTTGAAAAAATTTGATGGCTGTCTTCTCCTTAGAAAAATGTAAGGGTAATTTGATCCTGAGGGTTTCAAGTAGGAAGACTTCATAGACTGCATTAAAAGAGAAGAATTTTCTTAGACTATGCATTTGATTTGGTATCATAAAATAGTACCCTCTGGAAATCAATAAAACATGAAAGGCAAATCATGCCATAAACCTAGAGCTATGTCTAAAGTTCTTAGAGCTACCTTTATATTTTTCAAGATAACAGGGGTATAATTGAAGAGGTGGGTATAATATAACTTAGTAACAGTAATTCTTGCTTCCTCATCACATTTTTTATTTTTGCTCACTGACAGCTGTTGTCAAAATTAACCATGTTTTAACAGATATGTTTTTCTGAAGTTTGTTTTTAATAAATGAATACTTATTTTCACAATTAAAAAAAAAAAGAATGAAATCAGAAGTCTACACTTTCCCAATAAGCAACGGAATTCCTTTTTGAAGTATAGAGACTATTTCTCTACAATTTTGCACAGTGAGCAAGACTTCACAACTGTGGCTGAAATCTCTAAATACGACATTGGCATATGGAGATTCACACTGTGTGAACCGGGAGCTTGCAAACTGGCCGTCTGAGGCCTGGATTCAAAGCTAGGTTCTGAATCTGTATTTGAAACCAGGAACTTTCATATAAAAATCCAGATTGGGGGCTTCTTTAGAAAAACCGAAGGGCTGACAACATGGGATCCTTAGCCTTGTGTGGTAACAAAAAGCTAGAAAAGGGTAGTCACCACCTCCTTAGACTGAGCATGGACTCTTCAGCTCATCACAGTCCCCATCCTTCCTACTGTCCCTAAAATGGTTTCTATATCAGTTCCTCAATTTTTTTTTAGTAACCATGTATTTTTGTACCTTCACAACCACTTGTTTTATTGAAAGAAAAACATCTCTGTTCCTATGCTGCTGTTAAAAGTGACAAACTAAAAGGCAACCTGAAAAAAACCTCCTGTTTAAAGAAAAATTGTCCTTTATTTAAAAGAGAAGTTCAATTTCTTACTGCCTAACAAGCACATAGCTAGTTTCCTGAGTCTTTTACATTTCCTCCTCTGCCCCCACAGCATTTGAATTCACAGCTCCTGGTATAGACAGTCAACACTGCCTGAGAAGTGAGTGGAATGTAGCAGCTCATCCATTGACTTGGGAATTAGCTGACATGCTAAGGGGCAGACCTTCTACATACCTCTCTGACTCCATAGAATAACATAGATAAATCTCTCACTATAACTAATCCACACTTACCTTCCTAATATCCTCATAAATAAAAGGCTAATATGCAAATTAACCAAACGGCAGAATGATCCGTCACTATGATGTGCACTGACGACCAGGGGGCAGACGTTCAACTCAGGAGTGGGGAGTGGGCCTCAGCCAGCAGGCGTACATCCCCCAAGGGGTCCTGGACTGTGAGAGGGCGCAGGCCAGGCTAAGGGACCCCACCCCACCCCCCCACCCCCACTGCACAAATGTGCACCGGGCCTCTAGTATCAAATAAACCCAAAAGGTACTACTACTAATTTTAGTACTTACTATATGTACAGTACTATTGTAGTGCTTCTATATATTAATCTGTTTAATCCTTACAACTGTGCCAGGTAGGTACTATTATTGTTATTATCCATATTTTACAGATAAGGACACTGAGGCATAAGCAACTTGCCCCTAGTACTACTAACATCATCCCCGAATTTTATAGATAAGGACATTGAGACACAAATTACTTGTCCAAAGTTATACAACTAATAAATGGAGGGATTGATATAGGAACCCAGGCTGACTGCACCAAACTCAAGGGAAAGGTGGCAAAAGATCCAAAGGTCATAAAATCTTTTGATGATCTGAGAATAAGAGGAATTAGAGAAAGTACTTTGTAGCTCAAAATCCAAATATGGAAACCAGTGATGTGTCCATGCTAGTTGGCCTCATTCTGCAAACAAACATCAGTGAACCCAGCGGGGACCTGGCCAGCAGCAGCAGCAGCAGCAGCAGCAGCAGCAGCGGAGACAAAGTGATTGCAGACAAAGAGGGGCTGGTCCCAGTTTCCAGTTGGCACAGACCTCCTCTGACTCGGAGTGTCTCCTAGTCCTCAGGTTTACTTTCTGTGAAATTAGGGCACTGGACTTGATGCAGTTAAATGGTTTGCTCAAATGCTCTGTGATTCTGTGACTAGTTCATAATCAAGCCAGCATTTGTCTAAGAAGAAAAAAAAAATGGATCACTGGCCCTGGCCGGGTAGTTGGTTGGAGTGTCATCTGGAAACACCAAGGTTGCAGGTTTGCTCCCCAATCAGGGCACATGAAAGGGTCAGCCAATTAATGCACAGATGAGTAGAACAACACGTCAATGTTTCTCTCTTTCTCAAATCACTATGGTGGGGAGGGGGGACGGGAGGGGAAGAATCAGTTTCCACTTTTCCCATCACATGCACAAAAGCTAGCAAAGAGAAGAGAGTGCCCCAGAGGGACCCTGTATGCTACATGACATTTCTCCTTCAGAGAGGGACAAGTACCCTTGCCTTCGCTGGGCCCCAAAGTTCAGAATCTGCAACAATCACCTCTTTGAAGCCTCCTGCCCCAACCTACACAGACACAGCTGATGGCTTTCTCAAGGCCCTGTCCCATATCAAAGTCCCCACACCTTCCCAGTGGTCAGTGACAGGCAGGCCCGCCCTCTGCATCAGCCAGGTCACTCACCACGCTTCCTTGGCCTCTGCATTCTCACGCCTCACACTCCACTTGCACATAGCAGTTACTCAGAGATTGTCTGAATGGTCAAAATCTGGATGTTAGTCTTTGCTATCCATTTTCTGTACCACCCCTGATGAGTATCTCAAAACTCTCAGTACTTCTATTTCTTCACGTGCAAAGTCACAATGAAATTGTTTGACCTGATCACAAATGTTCAGAATTCTGAAATGGGAAAATAGTAAACACTACAGAAAAGCTAAGACAGGCAGGCGGCCTGGGCCTTCCCACCACAATGCCGGAAGCACTGAGTCTCAGGGACTCTCAGAAAGGCCCCCTCCACATGGTCAGATCAGGTCTTCGGCCTTTGGGTAAGGCTGTACCCAACTAACAAAGAAATACAAGTTGGTTTCACTTTCAAAGAGTTCTAGCCAAACTCTGAAATATAGTGATGGTTTTCCTGGCTGGGTGACATCGGGGGAAACCTTCCTGTGACGGAACAGCCCCAATTCCCTCCCCTCGGCTGCAGTCCTCAGTGGAGGCAAAGAGCGTCTGCTCATGGCCAGCAGCTCGCATGGATGCCCTGCTCATTCACAGCCTGGACACCAGACACTGGGCACAGGGAAGCGGTAGTCGTTCTTTATTTTGGAATCCTGGTAGTCCCTGAACGAATGCCACAATTACTCATTTGTTAAGATCGAAGACAGAAAAGTGCATGCCAACATGGGCTTCTCGAGAGCTGTGGTTTACCAGCCCACTGACCCCCACTCAGACCCTATGAGGGTCTTGATTGTTTTATGCAGAAAAGATTCCATTGCTTTCATCTGCCCTCACAGGAAAACTGGATTATGTGCAAAGTCATTCAGTGGCCCTTCTCCTGGCACCATAGCCAGCATGTAAATTAATTACACTTTGGATTCTAGGTTCACATGTGTCATTACTTGACACGAGGAAGTTAATACTGTTAATTTCTTTTTAAAAGGTACTAGAAATAGCATACGTGCTCATATTTTTCTCTCTGGAGCCCAATTCTTCTGCCTATATACATTTAGCAGAAATGTTCTTTAAGTATTTTGCCTCTTGGATGAATGCCTCTTCCGTTTCCAGAAACTGCTCCATGCCTTTCCTCTGTCTCCACCATCAACCCAGCTTCTGAAAATGAACTCCCCATGTCCCAGGGCCCTTAATCCCCTGAGCAGGGTCCATAACTTCCCATCGCTCCCCCTGCAATACCAAAGGGTGCTTGTGCCTGAACCTTGAAAAAAGTATTCAATCACATGTGGATTATTTCTAAACGAAGACCCATAATTCTATGTGGCTTCTGTGGACTGTAAAGAACTGAAGGGAGAGCAAAATGTTGAGGAGCTGGAAGGATACCTTTACCCTGACTTGTATGAAACTGTGGATGAGCTGGGGTGACAGTCCTCATCCTTAACAAAGGCTGCCCAGGGTGGCAACAGTCCTAGTCCCAGCTGCTGACCTGACTGGCATCCCATGTTGGAAGGGTGGGCAAGGCAGATTGTGGTGAAGATGGGGGAGTGAATGAGAACATATATACAGGG